ACAATCTGAAAGAATTGTCATTATGATTGCGTAAACTCTTCTAGAGATGCCATAGCTAGAAAATCTATGTAGCAGCTTCCTTATCTTGCACTTTGTCAAAAGCCTATGAGATATCTATGAGATATCTCTTGTGGCAAAGCTATCACTCAACGCATCACTGATTCTGTGGCTGATGAGAGTTAAAACATCAGCAGTGAACCTATAAAAACTAAACCCATACTGTTTGTCGCTCAGGAAATTGTTTCAAGATTTTTTATGATACTTGTGCACAATTCGTACTATGTTTAACGAGCTTGTTTTGCAAGACATAACAAATTTTGTCGCCTTGTACTAAACTAGGTAAAATTTAATCAGTATCAGACAACACCGTTATCCTATTTGGTCACTAAATAAAAAATAAGGAATAGTACAGGATAATTAATATTACATTGTTATCTCCTTTGAAAAATATTCTTTTTTCAGTTGAGCAAAAACGCTAACTTCACAGTAATTTTTTAACCATTTCACCCCAAGCAAGGCAGTAAAGCCACTAAAACGCAAGGGGTTACTGGGTGTGAAATAATAAGAAAAAAGAAAAACATTATTAAGGAGCGAGAACTATAGAAGAGTAATGAGAAAGACAATAGAAAAAGACTGACATTGCATTTGAATTTTTGAAGATTAAAAGTTGGCTGGAAAGTATGGAACCGGAAGGGAGTTCCACAAGCGAGAAGTGCAAGAAAAGAAACTGTTAGCATAGAACTTATCGTTACATCTAGACGATTCAACTGTGAAATGATGAGAGCTTGTTACCAATCTTGTACTGCATTTAAATTCATAAAGTCTAGGTACCATAGCAGAAAGTTCATCTGAACAATTACCATGAAAGTATTTATAGAAAATGCTCAGGGAAGCAACATTACGGCGGCGAAAAAGTGACTGAAGCCGAGACGCCAGGTCAAGACCAATAATATTGCCGAGTCTTCTTTGGAAATTATCAAGGATCTTTGGATATACAGCAATAGCAATGTTGCCTTCTTCCATGCTAACACAAAGTCGCATAGAGTAAGAATAACTCAAGAGAATCTTTGAAACTCGGTTGGCCTGTTCTGCCCGCCATATTGATCCGGCATTGCATTAATTTTCAATCACTGCAAAACAGTTTGAAAGGGGAGACATTTTCTGTAATGAAAAACAGATTCAAAAGTTCGTCAAAATCTTTTTCACGTCAGAACCTGCAGAAATTTCCTCAAAATGTACTGAAGGGCTCCCTGATATATGGTAACAAGTATAATCATTCAAATAATGGTGAATATAATTGAATTAAATGTAATTATAAATTATATTTTTAAGAATAAAACTGATAAATAAAAATGGATATTATTTATGACGCAACTAAAAAAATAACATATTACTATCAATAATATTGATAACAATACTTAGATTTTACATAGAGGCATACAAAATCAGACATGACTGTGCATTTAATTATACTCGGACGTTTCATTGCCTCCCTCCAACCCGTTTTTCAAAATTCTGTTTCTGGAATGCCAGACACCACCCGAGATGTTCTTGTTTACTTGACCTACAAAGTCTTTCAGTCCAATTTTTAATTGACTCAAATTGTTCACATATTTAAAAACGTTTTGTCAATTTTTCGTTTCAACATGAATCGTTTTGCCATTTAAACTACTAATATTTTTAAAATCATTTCACTCCAAGCAAGATAATAAAAGCAACTAAGATACAAGGGGTTACTGAGAATGAAAGAAACAGGGGAGGGCAATGAAAGAATGGGAATTATAGAGACAGATGACGACGATCGATATTGCATTTCAATTTATGAAGATCGTAGTTAACAGGAAAGCATGGAATCAGAAGAATGTTCCGTCAACGAGAAGTGCAAGAGAAGAAACTATTGGAATAGAACTTGCGGTTACACCTAGCAATTTTAACAGAGAAAATATGATACCTATTTGCTGATCTAGTAGTCGCTTAAATTCGTGAAATCGAGGTACTAACGAGGAAAGCTTGTCAGAACAATTCCGACAAGTTAACGATAGCCACATAATTTCAATTTTAAGTGATTATTATTTCACACCATAACACAAATAGAGGATCACCGATTTCATCAAAGATCACCGACCCTTCATCCTGAGGGCAATACAGAGCAAAGACGAATGGGGTACTATGGATAAGTGCCACACGGAAGCACATATACGGGAGATCGGGGTCCTTGTTCTTGTGTCCCTACCACGGGAAAACCCTTCCTTGATGTAGGCACCGAGTCCGTGGTCGTGGTTATTTAGAGGGTCGTATTTTTTTATAATGGGTGAGTAGCCCGGGATTGTGAGCTCCTGTAATGGGATTGAAAGAATTGATACCCGTCTCAGACAGAAAAAAGGGGTCGGGTTTGAACTGAATAATATGGAGTTCCACTTTTGGAAATTTGGAAGGTAGACCCTTTACATTGGTGTAGGAAATGGTATACTAGGCGTTTACCTTTATTTTTAGGTTGAATTTACTATGTTTTTTCATTTTCAATTTGTTCGATTTCGTGTGTGTTTTGGTTGGTTTGGTTGAGGACTTGTAGGCAATGAGACAGTCACTCACAGGAGATGCATGCATAAATAAACTGGATTGAATGGTCCGTGGATACTGCCGTAACAGTACCCCTCATCATGGCATCGAGAGGCCCCACCGGAGACTACTTCTCTGGCACTAATTGTAGCAAGTATTTAAAGAAGACGAAAAAATAACTTGTAAGGCTAACAGTTATCTTAAATTGGTTAAACAAAAATTATGTAGCGTTACGCTTTGATTCATCACCTGGTTGGATTTTAAATGCTAGTCCTTAGGTATTCGTTGTGACTAGATGCAGAAAAATTGGCGTGATCGTATGGTGACCCCCATTGCCGAAAAAAACAGTAGAAAGACTCATTTTGGTTTATTCTTGTGCTTCAACATCGAGAGAGACGGAAGTGCTCCTAATAGACTTTGGAAAAATAGAGACATCGAAGAGTGTCAGATAGTGTTCATTATTTGTAGCGCTGGACGCCGATAGCTGGCAAAACGGTTCCTCCTTTACGGAGCTCAAACACCTTCCTTCTATATATCTTATTTATATTCTCTTCCTATTATGTTTGTTGCGAGATAGCTGTGCGTTATTTTTTCTCGTGCGTGACGTGAACGAAAGTTGTTACTTATTTATTCATTTATTTATTTATTCTCCTGGACCCTAAGAGCCGAGAAACAAACAAAAATCAGCTCTATAGCATGCGTCCAATCTAAAGCGTCCGGGCATAAGTTTATCGTGGCATCCGCTTTTTATTCAAAATTCAAACGAAAAGATCGGTATAAATTTCCCAGCTGTCACGATTTTACTCGGATGACCTTCGCCTTTGACCTCGCCGAATGAAGTAAACTTACGATTCTTATATTTTTAACATCTTGCTATATTTATTTTTTTAATAATAATAATAATAATAATAATAATAATAATGCCTGAAAGTTTAGATGCTCTCAAATATCGTGCAGACAAACACATTAACAAGATCCCTGCCAGTTTAAGAGAGATTAAAATAATTGTACTGAGTAGAACTTCTCATCTACTTAGTCGAATATTACCAATATGAAAGAAATATAAACACAGTACATGTTAAGTATCACTTAATATCAAAATTTGTGAATACAAAGAGCATGTCTTATCTGAGGTATTTCCGTATATAATGACGCCGAAACGATTGCGTCCTGGTTAAGACGATAAACTACATCTGACAGCAAGGCCTCTGTTCAGGAAGTTTTGAGGAGCATGGAACCACTTCTTAATTGCTGATGTTCCCAGGTCCACCCTGACCCTGGGTGGTAGCACCTCTTAGGGTCCCAGCTATGGGCAAATAGTTAACCCCGAAACTGGGGTCAAAACACTATGAAAGTGTAAAAATAGGTTTTAATATCAGCAATAAAATTTTTGAGGAAAAGTGATTACCAGCAATACATTATTACCAGCAATACATTTTTGAAGAAAAAAAAATTTTACCAGCAATACATTTTTTGGAAAAAATATTACTAGCAATAAAAATCGTGTCGACATTAAATAACACATTGAGGTTGATATGCCGTAAACCAAACCAAACCGGAAATGTGTTGTATTAATTAGCAATAATAATAAATAAAACGATTGACGTAACTCTTCCAATATTTATCAACACTTAAGAGCGCGATTTAAGAAAAGTAAAGACAGTGTTTGACAATGTTTAACAACATTTCAACAATATGTCTGTCTTCTTCAATTTATATTTACACTATTTACATTGTTCCGATGTTTGTCCTCATCTTTATTGTCTTATTCTCGACGTTTCGACCAATCTACGCTCCAGTCCTACTTCAGGTGATATACGTTGGTAATTCAAACCGAAGCCTTTATTTAGTCCACTGGGGTAGATTGTTCTAGTTCCACGTGTCATGCCTTTTCTGGATATCTCAGTTTCAGTTATTTCCCCTTTAGTAACTCAACTCTGCAAGTTACAAGACTGGCTTGTAAAATCTATCGTTCCACAATATAACCTAGGTTCCCCTATTTTTCTTAAAATACGCATGCACTTCAAAACATAAGCATTTATAAGCGACTCTTCCTGTGTACTTGAACCAACGTGGAAGACAAAAATATGCAAAATTGCAAATACCACCCAAACAATTTACCATATATATATATATATATATATATATATATATATATATATATATAAATCTCGGCACTGACCATACAGTTCACTTTAACATCATACAATCGTAAACCTACAGCCACTTCGTATACGAGAGATCCATTCCAATATTCGCATTTCAATTTATCTATTATGCCTAACGCGATAATCCAGTATTTTCACATCTCGGTTCTTTCGCCGTTTGATAATCCCAAATCAATTAATCTTTCATTAAGGTCTTCTTTACGATTCGATAATCTCAAATCCAACATTCGTTCATCAAGTCCATGTTCTCTAATCAATAAAGGTTTGTATCACGTTGAAACATTGGTTCTTGTGCGATCACCAAAGTTAAGCAACGTTGATCCTGGTCAGTACCTAGATGGGTGACCGCTTGGGAATACCAGGTGTTGTAAGCTTGGATGTGCAGTTGGTGTAAGGGATAACATCTTGAAAATGAAAATCGGAGGGCCAAGTTTCAATTCCAGCTGGGTTCGTTATATTCACTTACACGCAAATATCCTTGAGAAAGGTATGAATCATCTCTTCTCCCCCAGCTATGGATTAATTAGTAGGACTTGTATCAGTGAATCATTATTATCTCCAAAATAGTCTTATAATCTAAAATATTTTCTGGTTTTAAATAATCCGCAAAAGGTTGATAAGCCATAAACACAAATCATTCTAATTGGTAATTGAAAATCCAATCAAGGCCCTATTCTCTAATCAATGATTCCAAATCCAATATTCGCTCATCAAGGCTCCATTCTTTGTCCGATAATCTCAAATCCAATTTTCTCACGTCAAGGCCCTATTCAGTGTTCGATAATGTTAAATACAATATTCGCTCTTTAAGGCCCTATTCTTTGTTCGATAATTCGAAATCCTATATTAAAACATCAAGGCCCTATTTTCTGTTCGAAAACTCTAAATCCAATATTCTCTCGACAAGGCTCTATTCTCTCTTCGATAATCCTAAATCCAATATTCGCTCATCCAGGCTCTATATACTGTCCGCTAGTCACTAGATCAAAATTCGCTCATCAAAACGCTTTTCCAATTTGTCTACAATTTTCAATAATATAACTACATTTTCCTCGTTCGATTAGCTCATAGGACAATTAATTTTCAGTAATAGACATATCCAGTAGAAGCCCTCATATCCGAACTTCAGTAGTTCGGATATGAGATCGGTTTCGGATATAATGTAACATGTGTAATAACAAAACACAAGAACTTATCGCAATATATGAATAATTAAGTGTCTCACGAAAGTAAATATTAAATTGCAATGTTTAATGTTCAATAAGTTTTATTTTCAATTGTCTTTCTTATTTCTTTTCTCGTTTTGCTTACTTTTCACTGTTTTAGATTTTTTTAAAGTAAGGCATTTCTGCAAATTACGTGCACTTGTAACATTCTGTAATATTGAACATGAATTTGATGACGTCATAAATAGCTTCCTCTACTGAATCTCAGTCTTCTTTATCATCCTTCATATTTTCACCATTATCAGAAGAATTTGACACTCCAAATCATTTTGAAGTGATTCTACCGTTGAATTCTTTGTAATTCATTAGCCTTCTTCATTTATTCATTCTTTTAAATCATCCGAAGTGAGAGTATTCAGTAGATCCTCTTTAAGCGCAAGTTTTAGTGTTGATGTTTTTGTTAATTTGCAATTTTAACAAATTAGGAGCTTCGTTCAGTTTTTCAATAATCTCTAATTTCTGACGTAACGTAAAAGAATTTCTTTTCCTTTTTCTTCCAACTGAAATGCAGGACATTATGTGCTGAGAAATGTCAAGTTTCTAACAATTATCTGCAAAGAAAAATGTTAGAATGTAGCAGATTCCTACAACATCTAAATGGCAACACTCAGAAGTTCCGATATGTGGAAGTTCGGATATGAGGACTTCTACTGTATTTATATTACAGATTTTACAAGTATTAGACAACTGAGGTCAGAATCCCGGGATCAATGATTTTTGACTGCTTTCGATTATTTTGTCCCGTTTTTTTTTATTTTCTGTTTATCGCAAAGATCTATGCCGATAAATTCTTTGGTCGCTAAAGCAGAGTGAAATAGAAACTAAATTAACTTTAGACGAGACTTGAATTTACAACCCATATCTCAGGAGTTGACGGAAAGAAAGAGAAAACTTTAATATTGGTTTCGTCAACAAAACAACAAGAATGTTTTCTGAAATTGAATCCTTATCATATGTCCCCATTTCGCTAACCATAAAATTTGTCCGCGAGTCACAGATGGGAAATTATTTCTGCTTGGTTTAACAAAATGAAACTAAGGAAAGAATTGCTTATTTTTCTTCTGCTGTTTTTACTTCCAGACAAATTGGAAATAAGTTTCGCAGAGTTAAGATATGTGACATATGAAAATGTGTTTCGGGTTTAGATTTTAGCCAACTCAGCAAATTCATTGTCGCAACTACAAAATACATTTCAAACTTATAATATCCTTATGTGAGGTGTGGCGTAGTGGGAGAGCAGTCGAGCTTGTTTCTTTCATGTGTTTGAAACTCCACCGCTACCGTATGAAAAATCATACAAACAATTTCAAGCTTCCAGATGGAGTGACTTCATAGTGGCAGCAATAGCGATCGGTTCTGATTTGGTATCTCGGCTTCAGTTACTTTCCCAACGCTGTAACAGAACTTTCCTCTGCCTTATGTATAAATATTTTTATGGCAATTGTTCTGATGAGCTTTCCTCTTTGGGTCATATAGGAACGAGTTAGGACTACATAGAGACTGAGGTATTATGGTGACTGTAGTAAGAATGGTAAGTAAGAATGTGTTGTTTCGATGTAAGGAATACTGTGGTATATTAGGGTCAGTAATCGTGGCTAGCTAAGTTTAAGATGACAGATTGAAGACCAGTTTTCCCCCATCACCCCTTTTGGCCTTGTGCCACATGTTTGTATTATTCAAAATAAATATTGCTTTCCTCGACCTCATTAATTTAAGACTGGCAGCGAAGTCACATCATTTTAATGTTGAAATTGCTATATGTAACCGTAAGTTCTATGCTAAGAGTTTCTTCTCCCCAATTTCTCACCTGAGGAACTCTCTTCCGGTTTCTTGCTTTCAGATAACAGCCATTCATAATGGTGGTGGTGGGGGGGTGAAAGTCCAGTGCTCGCCGGTAGAGAAGCAATCCCACTGCCTCCATCATGTTTAATAAATGGGTTTAACTCAATGTGGATAATATCGCTCTAAATTCCTTACACATGTCTCTGAAAGAACTAGGAGTCCAACCAGGATTTATTAGCGGCGGTCACGATCTTAAGATATGCAGATGACACTGTGTTGATAGCAGACACGGAAAGGAAACTATAAGAACACTTACAGAAGGTAATGAATGAAACCGAGAAGAAAGGATTAGACATCAATTACAAGAAAACAGAATGAATGGTTGTTAGCAAAAGGATGAACACAACATGTAAATTAGAAATTGGAGATACCAAAATCAAACAAGTTCAAAAATTTAGATATGTGGGAAGTGTTTTTACAGAGAACGAGAAGTGCGTTACTGAAAGTCGAAGGCGTATTGGGATTGACAAAGATGCCTTTCAAAAGCTAAGCAGAGTATTAAGAAAGAGAAAAAATTCGTTAGAAACAAAGAAAAGAGTACTGAACAGTTATGCGATATCTGTCCTCCTATATATATATTTTTTAAGCATTTCACCCCAAGAAAGGTGGGAGTGCCCCTAACACGCAAGGGTAAAGAGAAGGACGAGGATAAAAATCAGGGCATTGGAAGATGTCGATTGACATTACATTTAAATTTTTGAAGATTATAGTTATCAGGGAAGCAAATAAGAGGGGAAAAAATATTACCAGCAATATATTTTTGAAAAATTATTACCATCAATTCGTTTTTGAAAATTATATTAACCGCTATACATTTTTGAGGAAAAAATATTGCCAGAAATAGATTTTTGACAAAAAATATTACCAGGAAAAAAAATTGGCGGCAATAAATAACCTATTGAGGTTGACCTGCCGTAAAACAAACCAAACCAAACCAACATGTAAATTAGAAATTGGAGAACCAAAATCAATCAAGTTCAAAAATTTAAATATCAGTGAAGTGTTTTTACAGAGAACGAGAAGTGCATTACTGAAATTCGAAGGCGTATTCGGATAACCAAAGATGCCTTCAAAAGCTAAGCAGAGTATTAAGAAACATAAAAAAAAAAACTTTGTTAGAAACAAAGAAAATACTGAACTGTTACGTGATATCTGTCCTCCTCAATGGCAGTGGATGCTGGACAATCTCCTCAAAGATAAAGAAAGGACTTGAAGCAACAAAAATGTGTTTCTACAGAAGGATGCTGAGGATACCATAATCCGAACATGTGAGCAATGACAAAGTTTTAGAGAAGATGGAAACAAAAAGGAAAGTTATACTTAACATCAGGAAGAGACAGTTGGAATTTTTAGGGCACATAATGAGGAAAGAGGGCTTGGAAAATCCGATACTCACAGGACAGATTGAAGGCAAGAGAGACAGGGGAAAACTACTCATATCATACATGAGAAGCTTGGGAAAATGAATGGCGGCCAGGGTTTAGGAGAAATAACAAGAAAATCTCCTTCCATTCTCCTACTGCCTTCGATTATAGGCAAACAATTCAAATTTGGATTCCTTTTTTTCCACTGCTCAGTGGTTCGTTTTCTATATTCTCTGATACATTTGAACCATTTAGTTTTGTGTTTTCTCCTTAATATTTTTGATGGAGAAAGGTAGGACCTGCAACTCTTCCAGGAAATACATTTTTTATTAGTATTTTAGAAACAGTTGACAGTGGAAATATTTTTACGATTTGATTTCACAAGGGTTCATTTACTCAGCAAACTCATGAGCACATTAACATCTGTTGGCTTAAAAACTGAAAAGACGTTTTATTTTATCTTTAATTCAGGAGATCGTCCTCGCATTGAACTCTTTTCAAATTAACTGGATTCGATCCCGGATCTATAATAAAAAATAAATCAAGCAACAATTAACTCTCTTTGAGTAAATCCAGCCAGCATGATATCTTACTTTTAATTTTCGTGGATACATTAACGACGTTTAAGCACAATCAAGGTTTTCATTTCGCCCGGATCACGTTCCTCCTCGGCCTTTGAAGAGGAGTAAAGGCTTGTTCCGTGTTTCCTGTTTAGGATTGGGTTTCTGATTTCCTCTAAAATCTTTTTCCTTCTCTTTCACTTGCGTCTTGGTAGCATTATCACCTTGCTGGGTGGTGGCTCTTACATCTTTTTCTAAAAAAAAAAAAAAAAAAAACATCTTGATCTTTGTAATTATACGCTTTTTCCATAGTCGTGGTTACTATTTAACACAGGCCTTTTGAATTCTCCTGTTCAGTGAGAATGTTCTCGATACGGTAC